TGACATGATCATGAATTTGTAAGTTGAAGTTTTAGCCACACTATCCAGCTGTAAATGCAGCCAATTTTTTTTTTCCAAAGAGTTTTCATTTATATAAACATCAGTCTCTAAAGAATGCTTTGGACAGATGAGACAATTCAAGTTTCCATTCATTTATGCCAATTTCTACTACAACAAGTAGATAATTTCCTAAAATGTGATGAAGCTCCCTAGCACTTAAGATTAGAAAATAACTATGATTCATTAACTATTCATTTGCTTCTTCAAAATTACCAGTAAGCTGTCAAACATTCTTGAAATCTCATTTTATAAATTTCCCAATTATTTTTATGAACTATCCAATTAGATCTAAATGGTATTGGGACACCCCACCACCACCACCACACACACAAATAAGTAACTTATTTATTCTAGATCTCTTTCTCCACTGTTTTTGACACTCAGGAGGGTAAAAAACAAATCACTTAAACCCCATTCCACTACTTTCCTGGCGAAAGTGAGAGTTAGTAAATATTCAAACATTTGTTTTATGAAACACACTGGCTAGAGGACAGGGGCAATTTAGTAAAAAAGACTTTGCCCTTTAAATTCTAGTTCTGTCACTTATTTACGTATCCTTGAACAAGCTAAAACTAATGAGCCTCAATTTCTTCATTTGAAACGGGGATGATATCAGCAACTGATACTAATTCACTGGATTGTTATGAAAGGTAAAGATATTAAAATTTGAAGAGTTTATATAGAACACAAACAAGTAACAATAAAAATATTACCATCTATTGCTATGTGGGGTACCAAGCTGTTTAAGACTTCATTGATGCAGTCAAATAATTTCTAGGCATTCAAATATCCCAACTGTCAACAAACTGAGCTGTTGACAGTGGGGCCTATCCTATCAGGCAGTGGTTTCCAAAAGGAGGTGAAATGAGGGCCACTGGAACAATGGGAAAAAGTATTATATTTTTTCTTTATATTTTTGATATAAAGCTGAAAAACAACTTCCACTATTATTTAATATAAAAATCAAGGTTGATGCTCCCAGTCAGTTCCACTATCCAAGGTTCACTTTCACTGTTATTATTGTGCTAGTAAAGTACCTACAAGATGGTTAGGACACGGCATATTCTTTTTTGTTCCTGCTTTAACTGACATAAACATCTGATTTCATAAAGCTAACCTTCACAAAATGAACAAGTGGCTTAAAATATACTTGCAAAGAAAACAGGATCTGCAAATACTAATGATATAAACATAAAATGGCAAAGTGTACACTTGCCCTAAGTATAATATGTTCTGTTAGTCTTGTTTAGAAAGTAGATGTGTGAAATGGTTCCAGGACTAGGATATTCACTTTGGAATGCCATTCTTCCAGAAAGTAAATGTTTCAGTTAAAATGTCTATTAAATTGTTGCCACTGCTAGTGCAAACCAGTGACTCTCCTAAACTCTTCAAAAGCCATGACACTTTCATATTTTTTAAAAGGTGGTGTCAAAACCAACTGATGGAGTTGCCTTAAGTTCTAGCTACTCGGGTAGCAGGATCCCTTGAGGCCAATCTGGGCAAAATTGGTGAGACTCTGTCTCAAGTAAAATACAATTGCTTATATACTATTGGTGGGGATATAAAATGACACAACTACTTTGGGAACTCACTTGATGTGATTTAATAAGATTTAAAAATGTCTTTTTTTTTTTCTTTTTTTAAAATCCCTTATTTAAAAGATTTTAAAATACATTAGAAAACTGTGTTCAAACACTGAAAATTTAGTCATGGAAACTATTTATTGGTAGTAGATTCTAACATTGATTTGGAAATTAAAATCATAATGAAGCATATTTTACATTGCTTTCAAATGGTATCATCATGAAATTTTTTAGTAGGGTAATTTTGTGACATTTACAAATAAAATATTTAATATTAACCATTAAATATTTAATATTTCCTGTTATTTAAAAAACATTGGTTAATATTTCATGTGTACAATTTTTAAATATATTGATAAATACTGTGGAACTCATAAAAGTTTGAACCATACATGTAATCCATCACAATGATTTACTACTTCAAAAAAGAACACCTTTAATGAAGTACAATGATTTAATGATAAAAGATATGGAAATACTAAATCTGAATAATATTGGAAAACAAAAAAAGTCTACTCAATCTTTTACCCTTTGTTTACTGCAAATATCTACCTAAGTACAAATTAACCAGTCTAATTGGCTACCAGGTCTTTAGAACAAGCAAAAGCTGCTAGACAGCAACAAGAAAAAAAGTGAATTTTACCAAGTTGTTTTTTTGTCAAACCTCTCCCAGAGCACCATCTTTCCTCAGAAAGAAGCCAACTTCCCTAAGTCAGTTCCGAGAACTAGTTTTGCCTACTAATAAGACTGAACTGTTTATTTAAAAACTTGAATTTTAATGAATTACAAAACTGCCAGGAAATCCTTAGAGTAGCTGCAACCAAATAATATCCAGCATTTTACAAAAAGAAATTGATAGTTGGATTTATACATGAGAATGAAGATCTTAAGTTTGATTATTCCTAGTGCTGAAGATACTCCATTTAAGCCAAAATACTTATTTCAGAATTAGTTAAAACAGTCATTTACCACTCAGCAAAGTAGCCAAAATCCCTGGGTTCATTCCTCATTTACTTGCTCACAAACTTCTAACTTGTGAAGTTGGAAGAAATCTTGAGATCATCTAATGTATTTCCTAGGTCTTGCTCCTCACTATAGTTAACAGAGGTAACAATAACCTGAAGCCTTCCAGGCTAATTCAAAATTGTCATTTCTGTAGGCTTCAGGGAACCACTGCAGCCAGAAAACTCACTTTCTCTTGACAACTGAGTTTTCCCTAGTTCTGAAAGTTGGAACTTTTACTGTTTTTTACTTGGAGATGTATAGTGCCCTCTTATGCCTCAGGAATATTAAATCATAAATAAAAAGAATAAAATTTAAAAGTCTAATCTCTTTTCCACTAGGTCATTCAACAAATATGTCCTGAGGTTCCAACCGAGTCTCTAAGGACATAAAGGTAACACTTTCAGAAACATCAATAAAAATAACACCAGGATGTATTGCTCAATTTTTTTTCTAAATTTATTGAAGGCCTATTATTTTCACATTTTGCACTATACATGGAGAATAAAACGGTTAGTAATACAGAGTTGATCCTTGCATAATGGACTTTAAGACCAGAAGACAAAGCAGACAATTATGACAGAGAAAGCTAAGCATTATTACATTGTAACACATATCTACAAATTTTTTGTCACTAATTCTTCTTTTTCATAATCATCCATTTATAAGCTAAATTACTCAGAGAAATAAACAGAAAACTTTAATAATTTTTTTAAATTTCACATTAAATACATTCTACTATATATAGTTTACTTTGACAGTATGTACATCAAATTGAAAATATACAACTTTTAGATCTTTGGAGGTAGGCAACCTGATAATGTTTTTTAGAACAGAGTACTAAAAAAGTTATAGCACCATTCCCAAATATGTTCTAGGATTCTAGAGAACTGACTCTTTGTAAGCTGGTATTACTTGTAAAAAGTCTGTAAAAAGAAAAAGGAAATGTGGTTTATTTTCAAGAATCTATGAAGTTCTGTGTGCATTAGGTGCTGAAAATATTGAAGGTTAAATACAGACTTTCAGTCCAGAAGAAGATGAAGACATTCTATCAAAATATTCTGCTATAATAGGTATGAGGTGAGAGATATCCACGAAGTACAATGAGGACCAAGGTAACAGAGTTTCTCCTGTTAATGGAGATAGCTGGGGAGGTGGCATCAGGTCCTCAGTGATAAAGCACTGATCAGGTCCAAAGGCAGGATAGAAAAGAATGTCTGAAAGATACAATTGGCTATACTGTTATAGCAGACCACTTCCTCTCCAACAGTATAAAATTGTCATCATTAATGAAAAACTACTATCTAGAGAGATTTTTATCTATCTAAGACTAGATGTAGGGGAAAAGTCTTTCTAGATACTACGGATTAGGTGTAGCCCCGCATTTTAGGTAGATCAAATGGGCTCTAAACCAAATAAGGAGGAAATGAGTATACTGTTTAGCAGGAAACAGCTAAAAGTTAACAATCAGTATGAACAATAGTGTAATTAAGAGAAGTCTATTTGGCAAGGGATTTTATTTGTATTTAATTTGAAGTTTAAAAGCTCTCTTTTCAACTTTTGAAGGTACAAAAGAAAAATAAGGTTAAGTTTTTGTCCCTAAGTCTAGCTTGGGCGAGAAAGCTAGCAGCTCATGGGAAAGAATGCAATTTCTCAAAGGGAATTGCTCTTCAGACTCCAACAAAAGCCAATGAGCTATTCTACTCCATTTAACTAACATTCATGATGCTTACATGCTGGAATCCATCAGAAAATCTACCCAAATGTAACTCTAAATATTATTTACTCTTTTGTGAAATGGTTTTTCTTTTAATTTTTAGTTCTAGGGGTATCTTTAGGCTTGAAAGATTAGCTCTAGCATTTTACAGTTGGAAGCTGTGTGAGCTTAAGTACTATATGACTACTTTTTCCTATCTGTAAAACAAAATTAGTACTATCTACATATTTTTTTTAAAAAATTATACTATGTCAAGTTCTTAGTACAAAGCAGGCATCTAATTAAAAAGGGTTGGGTGGGGAATGAGTGTGAAAAGGCCAAAAAAAAAAAAAAAAAAGCTATTAACTAAACACATTTCTTGGTTCTGGGCAGAGATACTTACTGCAGTTCTACATACAGTCTACAGGACATTCTTCAATAGCATGGCTTGTCTGAGACAATCTCTTTTTCTCCTCCTTTAAATATGTCCTCCAAAAAACTATCTTCCCTTCAATAAGATATCTATGCATCTTTTTTGTTGGAGCGGAGGGTACTGAGGATTTAATTCAGGGAAAATTGACAACTGAGCCACATCTCCAGCCCTACTTTGTATTTCATTTAGAGACAGGGTCTCACTGAGTTGCTTAGTGCCTTGCCATTGCTGAAGCTGGCTTTAAACTCCCAATCCTCCTGCTTGAGCCTCCTGAGCCATTGGGACTACAGGCATGGGCCATCACAACCAGCTACATCTGTGCATCTTAAGAGATCCTGAAACCTTATTTTCTCCCTACAACAGATTCTGCGTTCCTCAGGTTAAATAGAGGACGAGAAGGCACTCAGCAGAGGCAACGGAACTGTGAATAAAATCTGTGCTGTCAATGAAACAAGACACAAATTTCAAATCCTGACCAGTTTGGGAAAAAAAAAAAAAAATCATTTCAACAGAAGAGTATTCAAACAGAAAAAAAAAAAAAATTAACATGTTCCATATTGTTTTATTAAAAAACTGAACAGTGAAGCCACCTGAGACTTCCATCTCTTCCAGACCTTTCTTTTCCTGTGTAGGTTCTGGTTGTTCACATTCCATTATGATGATTACTGCTTTCCCAGGAAATGTTCAGGAGGGCAGCTGCCTTGGAGGTAGGTCACCAGGACTCCTCTGCATTTTACATGCAATAAAGACTCCAGAAGGGGCTGTAGCTGCACAGGCCTCTGCTAGCTGCCAGAGGTAGGTCCACTGCTGCATGCTGCTCTGCCTTTTAGACCCAAAGTCTGTTCTTGGCTGTGGTTTTAAAAGAGCCCCACACAGAGGCTCTATTTAATAACTATAAAACAATAAAAACTAGGGTTACAAGCCAACAAGAATCACACTGTCTCTTAATAATACTTAATTACATTAATTTCTGCTAAGTTAAATAAAACAGTACTAATAGAGATCCTTGTTATTTTTTTAATGCTCTTTTAGACATTCAAAGCGGCCATTCTCAAGCTCAGTGCTTAAGCAACATCTATTATGTATGCAGCCAACATGCTTATGAAGCACATGTATCTGAAAGTAACTGCCACTTCAAAAACTACATAATTTTGAAGTATACCTAAGAAACAGGCTAAGTTCTGATAACTTAGATACACAACACATATCTCTTACAAATGCTAAATGTAGGCTTAGTGTTGCTTAGATCCATGTCTAGGTCCTAGGATCTTTATCCCATATTCAGAACAAAATGCGAAGGTTCATCTTTTCTACTGGCAGATGTGTCTCCCTAACTAAGAGTGAAGAGGTTTAAGACAGCATTTCATAAACTATGTTCTGAGCGTACCTTGTTTTCATTTTTTTTTTGGGGGGGTGGGGGGCGGGCAGTAAACCTATTTGGGAAAAGTTTCCTATTTTATCTTCCTCCTCAACTATCACTTAGATATATATTAAAATTCTGACAAGTTCTCAAATAAAGAAAACTAATAATTCTATACTAACTCAGGTGCCAGAAAAAAATTAAGAAACAGCTTATTAGTTTCAGCTCTCTGCTCACATTGATCTGTCAATGTGAGCCACTGCCTGAAACAAGCTTTAAAACCTGACAAGATGAAATGACATAATTGAGGAGTAATCCCTACCTAGTAGATGTGTGTGCCACAGATAGTCCATTATAAAGTGAAAACACTAATATGGGATGAAGCTATGAAACTTTCAATACTTATCCCAAGTTCCCTTTTTTTTTTTTTCCTATCTCACTCTTAGTACTTAAGAGCCAAGGAAAAGGGGAAAGAGTATTACTTTGAAACACAAGGAAGGGTAAGTCCCTATCAACTTTAACCATCAATCAAATTCTAATCAAAATTTTAGACATCTAAATTTATGGCACTAGTATGGGCAATGATTTAAATCTCTGCTCTGCAAATGGGAGAACTGAAAGAGTGAAAAAGTTCTTCCTCTCCTCCTCTTCCTAGTCAATATTGTTAAGTTCTTAGTACAAACCAGTTTTTAAAAGATGAGTGATATCTCACAGGAATGTCAATTTCTCTGAATCATCTTCTACACTCATGTGGCCTCACTTGGTTCTCCTTTGAGGGAGTCTTTCAAGAAAAGAATAAGCAGCATAGCTACTTTTAAAATGTGAACTGAACTTTAGCCAACCTTTTCTTTAACAGGATCTTTATCTTTTTTAAATTCCTATCTACTTAAGTTACAAGTATCATTCTGGAATTTGAGGTGTGCAAACAGAGCACATGAGAATGAAAAATAACACATAAGAAAGTGCAGGCAAGTTTGAAGTATAAGAAAAGCAGGCTCAAGCAAGAAATCCATAAGAAAACCATAATCTCTCCAGACTGACTCTCTCTGATGAATAAATAGACATTTATTTGCATAAGCCACCAGGGAAGAGGGGAAGCTGGCTTTTAATAACAAAGTTAAAAATATTTCAGTAGAGCTCACCCAGTTTGTTCCTCAGATGTGGCAAATCATATATCCCCACAGTTCCCAGATGCATGAACAATTGACTGATTAAATCAGTAACATCCTACAAAGAGTTTACAGTGGCAAACTGAGTCATGTTGAAATTAAAGCATCATCAAGAAAGTTAACATAAAATAGGCATGCATTAAGTGCTAAATTTCTGACACTTTCCCTCAATTGAAACATTCTTCATAGTAAACCCAAAGTGTTAAAAAATAAATAAAATCCTGAGCTGGATATACTGAATCTATATTTTTAAAAGTACACCTACCTCAAAAATAACTCTTCTGAGATCTTTGTATCTTAAAAATGAACCCAGAGAGCAGTCTGAAAAAAATGGTCCACAATTCCCTAGTCCTTTATTGTGGAAACATGATTGACAAGATCACCATCGCACAAAGTGGGCACTTAAATCTTCTGATAAAATCATTCAACATTCTTGTTTTGAAAGCCATTTGCTCTGGAAACAACTATGGCAGTGTTTTGGTTTTTGTTTTAGCTTATGATTCTATTAAGATTGGAAGGTCCCCAACAAGAGCTCAATTAGAAATCAGTAAAATTAGTTTGACTATTACCAAATAACAATTTTAGTCATTATGAATCTCATTTCCCTCCTGTGAATTTTCTTTGAATTTAGAGTAGCTTAATCTTCAAAATAAAATCTGAGTTCCTTTTCTACAGCTCTGTTTTCCAGTTTCTTTTCCTGCCTCAGAGAAAGTGCAATGAGAAATAGTAAAAGGTTAGAAAGCCTATTCAACTTGAGGGCATTCTTCGATGCTGACACTCAGTTTGTTTCCCATGACTTTCTTCCTCTGGGCAATTTGGTAGAGAGTTTGGATGTTGTACACAGCAACTTTATATATGCTGGTCAAAAAAAATACATATATAAAGTATATAAAAGCTTAAAACAAAGGAAAAAGTCATTTATTCACCTATCACATAGAGTCAGGCAAAATTAGGCATTTTTATATTCTACTTGGTTTTTTTTTTGTTGTTGTTGTTGTTGCACTGTGATATTATACTGGAGCTTGGCTATATGTAATATGCAGATATTTTAAATAGATTCAAATCTACCAGAGAACAACAAGTACAACCAAATGGCTAATGGTATTAAAATCTGATAGTCTTAAAAACTGACCTGCAGAGTAGTGTCATCTGTTTAGGCAAGCAGTGTTTTAAAAGAATGCCTCTAAGAATTTTCCATTTTGACACAGACTCAATTAATCCCTATTGTTTGTTTCAGTGCTTAGGAAAATGCCTAAATAGATCCGAAATTCAGAATTTGTAACCCCCATAAAATGTTCAGATAATGGAATGCCTGGAAATAAAAAGATGGTTTAAAAATATATACCTAGTATTTCCTGTCCATCTTGAACTGTGCAAAACTATTCAACATCAAGATTTATTTCCTTCTAAGTTTGCATCTAGCTTGAAGTCATGTACAAAGAAAAAAAGATAGATCATCCCAACTCCATCAAATTTTCGAGCAATTAAAACCAAGTAAGAAAGATTTAGGAATCTCATACCATGAAAAATGCTCATCTTTCAGATGAGATTTGAATACAGAAAACTTGAATAAAGCAAGTTCCTAGAAAAAAAGGGTGGCATCTAATCACTTCCCCGCTAGAATGCAGAGAATGGGGAAGACAATGTGTCTACTACTATGCTTCAGGATACCTAAGGGAGCAGATGATGCAGCAGGAGCCTAACAGAATGACCTGCATGTGTCACTTACTCCTCAAAATCTGCCAGGAATGACACTTAGAAGCAATCGGAGGAAAGCACACCTAAAGAAAGCAAAGGGACATGGTCTGGTAGGAGCAGAGAGATCTGGAAATCCACTTGATTTGTAGAATAATAATGTATAGAGTAACATGGCAGGTGTATATGGTAAAAATCTGTCAGATATATCCAATGTCTTGGGTTGAAAAGATGCTATAGTTTACATAAGACACTTAAAATCAAATAGCAAATACACTTTAACTTTTGATGATTCCTCATTTTAAAAAATTAGTTTTAGTTGGGAGTATAGCTCAGTAGTAGTATATTTGCCTGGCATGTACACATCTCTGGGTTCAAGCCCTAGTAACACAAAAAATAAATTAATTTCAAGAGATATTTTTATAAGTCTGTAGGAAAAATCCAACTTACATATTAAATAGGCTTGTTTTTCTTGAATTACACATCCCTCCCACTCTGGTTTGCCAGCACATTGTAGGAAATACCCTGAGGCTTGGTAAAACCCAGCAAGGTTTACGTTAACAAATCTCACCAAAAATGCCTGATTTTCCTATTATCTCAAGTAACTTGATCCTGTAATTTCTTAAATTTTTTAACTGTTTCCCATCATACTTGCAGTTGTATTTACTAAAATAACATGGTGTTGTATTACTTTGCAAAAATATGTTTACCTAGAGCTACTTGATAGGTTAAGATAGGTTTTAAAAACAACAATCTTATGTATAGTCTACTCTGCTAATTAAAATTATGATTGTTGTCACAAGGCCCAACAACTGACTGGTTAGAGTAGTTGATTTTTCTGCAGGAAAATAAAACATAGCCCTGATAATGATTCTGTCAAATGGGCACTTTAAACTCTATACAGCAAAATCAGCTGGATAGGGGAGCTGGAGAGAATAGGCTTTTGTTCAACATCATCCTAAAGCATATGTTCTGGCAAGGTTCCACTGTAGCTGTCTAATCATCAACTAATTATCTGCCCATACATTGACTCTTTCCCACTTATGGTTGAGAATACTTTAACTGTATTTAGCTTTAAAAATTGGTTCTCTTTTGACCTAATGAAGCTCTGGCAAAATACCACATCTGCTTACACTGATTCAAAAAGTGTTCCAATTCCTCATTCAGCCACCAGGTAGCCAGTCCCTCTGTTTCTGATGCAAAAATATTGAGGGAAATTGCCCTTGTCTATTTCTGATTATTAGGTTTTTGGTAATTAAATGGTGATTTTAGAAATTTCCCCACCAGCTTCTCCAATTCTACAGGACTGAAGAATGAGAAGTTTTCTAAGCCAAATGGGTAAACTCTTTACTTATCTATATCCTACTTCCCACCTCACACTGAATAATTTACTCAACTTAGTTTTTAATCAGGTCCCACTTTATCCATTTTGTAATTAATTAATTAATTAATTAATTTTTGTGCACCAATTCTGTAGGTACTTTGATCTGGAGGCAAAGAACCTTTGAAGGAATGACAAAGTAAGAGGTCTACAAAGCCCTAGGCTCATCAATATGCAGACCAAGAAATAAATTCATATTGAGTACACGAACCATAATATGGCAGCATTTTAAAAATTCACATAGTTATGAGTTTAAAAAAAATACATAGTACTTAGGGATGATATTAAAAATAGTTAGCAACTGGTCAAGCATGGCTTCAATTAATCCAACAGACTGCTGGCCAACAATAGCTGACAGGCACAGCCCAATTCCTACCACTAAGTATCAGATCAGACAATCCAGTTGGGAAGAAACAACTTTTTCTTCACTATCTCCTTTTCATTTTATTTATTTTTCATACTTAAGGGGGATCCTCATTTAACAATTTTTGGAAGTTATTTTCCAAGAAATAAGTATGGTTTAGATAGAACACTATATCTTAGTAAGTCACAACTCCTAGGACAGACAAATCACAACAAATTTAAAGGTTAGGCCTCTGCTACTGTTTCGTCTTTTGTCATTTGTAACAAACTCATTCCCCACTTTCCCACAGGTTCCTACAAAGGGTCAACATCTGCCAAATGCTCCAAAGGCTGTATACTTATCCCAAGAAAAATCTGTATTTAGACTCCATGTATAATGAGAAACAGCTAGTTTCAGCTAGCTTCAATTTACTTGAACCATTTAATACTCAGCTTACAGGAAAAGTTCCAACTTTTTCAGAACAACATATGGGATGGACCGTAAATCTGTACTAAATTATTTTAACCCAAAGTGTGCCTGCAACTGGAAACAGTGTGTTTGAATGAGCAATAACTCTTCTTCTCTAGTGAGAGAAGAGAAAAAAAACAACCTGGACTGGCTGGTCTACCTTTTACTTTCATCAGCCTAATGAGCAGAGTAACTCCTATGCTGTTTCTTTGTCTTAGTTTAAAAAAAAAAAAAAATTATATTAAATGTAGTATGTACTACATTATATTAATTCGATATGTCATTTAGGTCAATTTCTCAGAGTCAATAAGCAATGATAAGAAAAACAGCCTAAACACCAAGAAGATGAAATTTATAATAGCCTTATGTTTCCTACCAATTCAGTATAAAGCCAAGTGACAAGACAACACTTAGAAATAAAGGTTTGGCAATAAACAAAGTAAGCTGAGAATCATGTCCTACTGACCAAAATGCAAATGTAAATACTTTATACATATTCAATATAGATCAAGTATTGTTTAAACCTACTGAAGCCACAAGTTTAAAGTTGCAAAATTATGCTAACTTCTCTTGAAAAATGTGTTATCCATACTGGTTTTCCTGTTAACCTAAAACTAAAATTCCAGGGTATCCTAATCACAAGAGGTTTTATATCTCAAAGTAATAGAAACTAACCTTAAAGAAAGCAAACCACTTGTAGTCATTCAGCACAATCTCAAAGCCTTGGTTGTAAATGATGGTGAAATGTCCAGAATTGCCAAAGTCATCATATGCTGTATCCAATTTCTTAAGGTGCACCACTACTTTTTTTTCTGGTGGTTCTAGATAAAAGAAAATGTACAACAAAGGAAAGTTATTTGAACTTCATGAGGTTAAAAATATCTCTACTATTTAATTAAGCTGCTTTCCTTTTATGAACAAGCATACCTAAATCCAATCCCCCATCCAAAAATCAAGGCAAAGAAAAATATAATAAAAGGTACAAGGAGATAAAAAGACCCACCATCAAATCATGAAAAAGGATAATGTGTTAAGCCCAGGAAAAGACAGAAAATGATCTCTTCAAAGAAGAAATGGGGTATCTTTTTTTCTCAATGGCTTTAGAAATGAGAACCTCAGAACCTGAATCCTTCTAAAGTAGGAATGTCTTTAATTACTGGATTAAGGTCTAAGGTAGGTTTACTGTGAGGCTGCCTGAAAAGAATTCAGTTGTGTCCATCAGGACATTCCCACACTTTAGGGAGTCTTCAGATTAATAACTCTGAGTGGGAGACTGCATGTGACAGGGAAGTGTAAATCTTGATCTCCCTTCTGCCATCATCCCCATGCTCAATTTATAAAAAGAAACAATGGTACACACTGTCCAAGATTAGGAAAAGCCATATAGTCATCTGGAGTTAAACATTTCTTTTTTTAAGAGAGAGAGAGAGAGAGAGAGAGAGAGAGAGAGAAGAGAAGAGAAGAGAGAGAAGAGAGAGAGAGAGAGAGAGAGAGAGAGAGAGAGAGAGAGAGAGAGAGAATTTTTTAATATTCATTTTTCAGTTTTCGGTGGACTCAACATCTTTATTTTTATGTGGTGCTGAGGATGGAACCCAGCGCCCAGCACATGCCAGGCGAGCACATTACCCCTTGAGCCACATGCCCAGCCCTAAATAGTTCTTTTTAAAGAAATATTACTTGACAGTATCAGATTACTTGACAGTCTTCCTTCTGCTAATGGGGAAATTACAGCTGAGAGCTCCACTCATTGCAAGTCACAGGGAGCAAGACTTTCAGCAGACCAGCAGTCTGTTGTCTGGGGGTTTTGTTTTTCCTCTCTTCTCTACTGGCTTCTTTTTTAAGGTTAGCCAAGTAACTGAAGCATATGTAATACCCCAGTGTATTCACACACTGGATATTTATTGTTCCAACTGCCAGGCACTGTACTTGGCTCAGGGCATTTCCAAATAATTATCAGGGAAAAGCATTAAAGAAGAAACGAGCTTCTCTATACCTCCTTGAAGTACATGAAACAAAGAATGGTGCTAGAAATACTGAAGGACAAGAAGCATTACCACATGCCAAATCGAAATGGCTGGACATAAGAGTCCTTTCCCATAACCTCACAGAAAAAAAAAAAAAAAAAAAATCTTTTCATATCCTCAAGAGTCCTTGAGCTCATATATTTTTTTTTCACCAATAGGATTTTGAAAAAACTGGCAGATTAGAAGGGGGAAACAAAAGACTGCAGTTGTGAACTCTATTCTAAACCAAAGCAACCAAATAAATACAAATATAAAGAGGAAGAAAAAGTTCTGGAAGGGGAGGGGGAGAGGGAGAGTTGAGGTCCCAAGGAGTGTGCAGTTAGAAGTTCTCAGCAGTTCAAATTTAACTTCGCAGCGGTGGCCAAGAGAGTTACCCCAAAGGACCCGGAGTCCAGCCAGGACGTTCCAGGCACTCAGGAGCGCTGGCCGCCGTGTGGCCTTTGGGCGCAGAAAGGGGCGACTGCGAGGAGTCCCGGGTCGGCGCGGGAAAGCGAACATCTGAGATCGCCGGCGGCTTACCCATAACCGAGCAGTTGATGTCCGGCTGGGAACCGACTGGGCCCACCTGGAAGACCCAGGTGCCCAGCAGATCAGGGTAGGTGCAGTTAGCAGGTGTGTCGCAGCGCACGGTCCAGACACCGCAGAGGAGCAGCAGGAGGCCGGCGAGCAACGAGCGGGGCCAGGGACCCATGCTGGAGGGGCCCAGACAAGAGGCAAAGAAGAGAGGAGCCCAAGCGTGGCCGACTTGAATCAGGCGACCCGGGTGGCTCGCGCTTTAAAATAGCCAGAAGCCCGGAAACCGCGGGCCGGCGGGGGGCGGGGCTACGGCACGGTGGGGGATGGGCGCGGGACACCGGGGGGCGGGGCCACCTTTCTCAGGTGGGGTTCGCCGAAGGCTCAGGTCCTCACCTGGCTGCCGCCGGACGCCAAACCAGAAAAACAAATGCTGACGGACGTTTCAGATTTTTGCACAATCGGTGACTTAAATAGGACCTAGTCTGGGCGGGGAGACAGAAGGTGAGAAGGAGGCCCAGAGAGAAGAGCCGGGAGGAGTGGGGTTCTCTTTGGCTTACTTTCCCTCTCTTAATCTGAGGTCTAGTTGCCTGTTTATCAGCTATATGCTTTTTCCCCTCCGAAAAACTTCAGCACTCTGTTTGAAAACTCCACTTTCTTCCTTTTTCTAGTTCTCACTGCTTTTTCTATTCTCTTGATTTTCTTTGGTCTCCTGTTGATGATATTTGTCTATTTGCCTAAGGGAGAATTCAACTTTAGTGCAAATTTGAGCGTTAAGTACCCGCCCCCCCCTCCCCAGTTTAACTGGATTTAGTTACACAAGGGGATCAGAGAGTATATTGCTCAAGTTCTACTACTTTACAGATGAAAAGCTGGAGGGCCAGAAAAAGGAAGTAGCTTGCCCAGGATGAGGAAGGAAGCTGATGTCCTGCCCCATTCTGGACTCTGGTATGCCAATCTGATGGTCATTTGTTAGGTATCCCTATTTTCAGATGCCTTCTTGTTCTCCCCTGTGTGAGAGCTTCTCTGACTTTCCTGGCTGCTATGGGTAATTGGGCACCTTTCCTCCACTGAGCCTCGGAGGTGTCAGACCCTGTGGACACTGTGATGAACCAGACATACTTGAGTGTCCCTGCCCTCTCAGTTGCATGCATTCTTGTACCCATTACAGATATTCATATAGCCACTTTTCCATCAGATTATAAACCTTCCAAGGTAGCAAGTCCAAATCATTCATTTATATCTCCCTGGAATCTTGTTTAATACCACCAGGGAAGTGTTCTTGAATGTTAAATGTTATCTTTATTTGTAAGCCTGAAACCCAAAAAGTAGTTGCCCTTGAAAGCTCATAGGTGAAAGTGCTTTTTAATACCAAAACTACAAGGGCCAGGGTGTGGCCAACCTTTTATGAGGTAGCCAGAAGAAATATAAAAAGTAGAAAAGAAACATGAAAGGACAGGAAAACTAAACTTTAAAAGCCTTGGGCTAAAGTTTCTCATACTTTCACTCCCCAAGTCGGTTCTCTTTTCCTAGCCTATCACTTATGTTTTCTGGAAAATCTACAAGTCTTCATTGACAATCTTAAAGTTACTGGAAATTCACTCACTCTTTAAAATTGTTCTGTGCCCTATTAATTAGTCCACTATTACATGTATTTTTAGAACAGAGAAAGGAAGATATGCAACCTATAATAATGGGTCCTTTCCCACCACTATCTATTGATGAGGTAATGGAGAAGACCTCAACTTGAGGAACTTGAGAATAGCCAGACCACCATAAACTGTCTTGTGATCACCACCAGACTGATGGCATTCCCTCATACCTTCCCATGGCCGTCCCTCACCGAATTTCCTTTAAAAAAGGAGACCAAGAACCCCCAAAGTCTCTCTTGCTGGTGACATATGTATTCCTTGCTTTCCTAAATAAATCTCTGTGACTGAAGTGTGCTGGAATTCTTTTTTGTCATGTATGTCAAGGACCCTGTCGTCCTGAATTGAGGTCCCCTCTCTGAGACCTTCTTGTACCACCTTCAGTAACATGTATTTCTAGATTTTATAGACCTTTTAATGATTAAAAATTGACATCTAATTACATTAACACACTATTTAAAAATACACTAACAGAATAACATTTCCTTCCTAAATCTCTGGGAAAGTGTGTCATTGTTAAACATTAAATGTTTTGCTAGATCATCAATATTTTAGAGCTGAACAGTCAAGTTGTAAATTCTTTTGATACATGCAATTAGAATATTACACTTAATTGTGAAGAAAGTTTAAAACAGCTTTTATGCAATGAAGAACAAGTAGAAAGGGATCTTGGAGACCTCTCAATCTAAGATTCATTTTAAAACTGAGCAATGGAGAATTGAGTCACTTGCTGAATGGCATATTGCCACTTAATGAAATTCAGGAAAAAACTTGAATTAGGTATCTGCAAGTTACATTCCCATGAATTCAGTGTATGTTAAATTATATGAAATAAAATGTTTTTATATGCAAAACTGATTTGCTGCTAGGTTAATGTAATTGTAAGTAGGTTTCCCAAAGGCAGCATTGCTTAGCAGTGGTTCTTGTAGTCCCAGGACCAGAAACATTGGGATCTCTTTGGAATTTGTTAGAAATGCAAATTCCCTAGACCCACCCCATACCTACCAACAAAGAAAATGTCTGGGAGGTCCCAGCAATTTGTGTTTTAAAAACCCACTTCCACAGGATACAAACTAAAGTTTGAGAATTACTGGTTTAGGAATAATTGGTAAGGACTCATTGGGACTCACACTTGAAGTCTGACACTCAGCAGCTGCTTAATCTTGACCTAAGTTGTTTTTCTTCTTTTAGTGCCTTGGTTTTTTGTCTATTAAGTGTACATAATTATATCTCCTGTGACTACTTCATCTGGTTTTGAAAAGACTGAGTGAGTTAACATAGATCTCTCTATATGAGTAATATAGATAACTGTATGTATTTCTATTAGAGAAATTTTCCTTATTAATTAAACCACTAGATTCCAAATACTGTTTTTTTGTAATCCTAGTACCCTAAATATTTCCTAGAACACAAGGAGTGCTCAAATATTTTCTGAATTAATAATATAATGGTTACAAGTGATAGTACTTAATGGTATTTGGCTAAGAGCATCATGATTTCCATGTTTTTTGCCTCATGAATAGATATGAAAACTACCATATTGGAATGCATGTCAATATATAAAAAAAGGGTTGGGCATGGTGGCACATGCCTGTAATCCCAGAGGCTTGGGAGGTTGAGGCAGGAGAATCGCAACTTAGGGAGGCCCTAAGCAACTCAGTGAGACCCTGTGGCAAAATAAAATATAAAGAAGGACTGGGGATGTAGCTCAGTGGTTAAGTGCCCCTGAGTTCAATACTTGGTACTTATATGTGTGTGTGTGTGTGTAGAGAGAGAGAGAGAGAGAGAGAGAGAGAGAGCGCTTAGATGAAAAACTTGACATATTAATATTGTGCAATGATATTTTATATCATGTACATTTCTGGCATTGGTAGTAATAATAATCAATTTTAGCAGCTTGGGAAGCTGAGAGAGGAGGATTGGGAGTTCAAAGCCAGGCTTACCAAAAAGCAAGACACTAAGCAACTCAGTGAAATTTTGTCTCTAAATAAAATGCAAAATAGGGCTAGGGGTGTGGTTCAGTGATCAAGTGCCCCTGAGTTCAATCCCTAGAACCAAAATTAAATAAATAAATAAAAATAATAATCAATTTATTTATTTAGCATTTCACATTGTCAAACTAATATACATTATCCCATTTAATTATCACACAATTCTATAAGAAGATGTTACATAATTTGTATTTTATCCCTAAAAAAATAAAATTGAGTCTCAAAGAATTTATTAGAGTCTAATGACTGTGAAAGCAAAAGTGAGGAGGGAAAAAGAAGAATAAAAAGAGGAAGCCTCAGAGGATGTGTAGGTCTGACACCTGTGAAGAAGAAAGAAAAGAAACTTAGAAAGAAACTCAGAAATACAACTCTGATACATTCTCAGAAAGTCCTGCAGGAAACACTGCTGTAAAGATTGTTCATGAAGGAGCTGCACTTATTAATTGGCCTGATCTAGAAAGCTAAGATGGATCTTGAAGTCATGCTGTCAGGAAATGGCACTCTCACAACAGGGCCATTTTGAAGAGAAGTGGAAACAGTAGACGCCTATGGGAGCAACAGTGAGGTAGAGAGATTCCTGACTAATATTATGGGTTGATCCACAAGTATGACAAAGGAGACTGGACATTTCTTCAGGTATTGTGATATCCCACATACTGTACTACCTTGGCAGTATTTCTGTCTTTGTCTTCTAGGCAGGTATCAAAATTCCCTCTGCTGTGACCTCATGTTCCTGTGTTCACAATTCATTATAATTATGTGATTGACTTTTCCACTGGGCTTCATGCTCCTTGATGGTAGGACTGTGATATTTTTATACATCAAAATTTATCACAGGAGTTGGGCCAATAATATTTGCTCACTCATTTCCTCAATAAAATTAATGCAAGAAAAGAAGAAAGAAAGATAAGTAGGAAGAATGGTAGAAAGAATGAATAAGGAAGTTTCTATGCATGAAAATTTAGTTGATGGTTGTGGTGGAGGAAATCACAGGGTTGCTTAGTAATGCTGCCCAGGTTGGTTAGTTGAACTGTACCAATGTTTCTCAAACTTGATCTCAGAACCAGTTAGCATTCTTAGAAGGTTATGAGGACTCCCAAGAATTTTTGTTTATATAGATTATGTCTGGTGATATCTACTTTATTAGAAATGAAATGTAAAAACAATTAAGTATTGATTTATTCATTTAATAATAATCATAAAATGAAAGTAGCATACTTTGAGGCTGCTGCTCACATTAACATGGCATACTATTTTAGAGTAGATTTCTTTTAATAAATAGAAGGAATGTACAATAAATAATGATAAAAATCAAAATGTAGTAAATATATAAACCAGTAACATGGTCACTTATCACTACCAAATATTATGTACTATACCTAATGTAGGCACTATACTTTTATACAACTGGCAGCATTTTAGTTTTATTTTCGCCAGTATTATCACAAACATGTAGATAATGCATTGTACCTCCTTGCTATAATAATTTTCTACCCAGGGATTCTCTCCCTGACATTTTGAGATTCTCTCAAAAATGTATGTGCTTGGTCACAAGGCAAACAGGGATGAGCAGAGTATGCTTGAATGACCACAATTCCAAGAATGGAGAAACCATGGAAAACACATTCTTTATTTACAGGTCACTGGTGTCATTTTTCTATATCCCATGTGGGGAAATTTATTCAGTTTATATATAAGAAATAGGAGAATGTCCTTCAATTTGATGAAACAAGCTTACAAAGCTAGAAAAATAGTAATTGTTATTTCTAGTTGAGTAGCTTGTTGTTTTGTGCACAGTACAGTCACATGGTTCTAAGAACAATCTTCCAGCTACTATCATTAAAACCATTTTTACAGATAAGAAAAATTGGGCCTCAGAAAAGTTAAGTGACTTTTCCGTGGGTACACTTCTGGTGAGTGTAAGTCTGATAACCAACAGAAAACTTCATTTTTTAAGTGACGTTGTTAGAATGGAATTAAGAAAATGAAGTTTCATTTAATTGTTGTTTCAAATACAAACTGGAGAAACAGTGATTTCTACAAGTGAACTGTAGAGACAATACAAGTGGAAGCAACTGTGAATGATTTGAGTATGTTTCTACCTATTTGATCCTAGTTTCACTTCACTTTTCACTTCTGTTAAGTAAGCCAAGTTTTTGAAATAAAAAATTTAGGAAGATTTTTATTTATTTATTATTTTTATTTTATTACTGATAGACTAGGATTTGCCCATATGTTATAGAGAAAGAGCAACTCTCAAGAGCAAACTGACGAACTTAATGTGTGTACCTGTTCTGTTGCACCAAATGCACTCCGTTTAAGACACCATTTCTTGCTGTCAGTACCTACAGCAATGACCTTCTAGTTTTTTCGGTTTTTTGTATAATTTAACGCACAGGCCAGGAACCTAAGTATCATCCTTGACTTTTCATTCTCTTGCCCCTCCTGACCTCTTGCCTTATCTGATTAGCCTAGGAGTCCTAGTGAGTCTACTCTTACCACTGTGATTTTTTAATTTAAATGTAAATCCTATAAAGTCACTTCATTGCTTAAAATGTCTTGGGCTGGGGATGTGGCTCAAGCGGTAGCGGTAGCGCACTCACCTGGCATGCATGCTGCTCAGGTTGGATCCTCAGCACCACATACAAACAAAGATGTTGTGTCNGCCGAAAACTAAAAAATAAATATTAAAATTCTCTCTCTCTCTCTCTCTCTCTCTCTCTCTCTCTCTCTCTCTCTCTCTCTCTCTCTCAAAAAAAAAAAAAAAGTCTCACTGAGCTACTTTTTTTTATCATGTTTGAATGAAATCCTAGGAGGCTCTACTTATTCTATTGTTCCTCCCATTGCTGACTGTTTCTGAAACTATTATTTTTCTCCAGTGCCTCAAAACCTCTGGATTCCTTATCTCTTCATTTCCTTTGCACTTTGCTACTTTTCCTACCTAAAATAATGTGCCCAGTTTTTCAATGACTGCTCTTTGTCATTGACTGATATTTTCACTGATGAGTGAGAAATATCAGAAAATCTTTCCCTAGACTTGCTATCTAAAGTGGCCTTCTGCAGCTACTCACTTTTATCACCCTGCTTATCTTCACACATGTTGCCTCTAATTATTAAATTTTCTTGAATATTATGAATCTGCTCCAAGTTGCTTGAGCCTTGCCTATTTAGTATACCACTGTTTCCCTGTCACATGGTAGATGCTAAATAAATATTTATTAAGTGTTAATTAAAACTACCTGTACTTACTCATCAGCTTTAAAAATCAGGTTTATCTGAAGGAAATTTTCACTGG